TCTTTAGGCTTACGAACTAAGAAGCTGGGTGCCAGAGATCTCCCTGCCCAAGTGGCTGAAGAGGAGAGTTTTGGGTTCCTGCAGAAGTGTCTTTGTCAAGAGTGATCAGATGCATTCTAACATGAGCTCAACTTCAGATTTTGCTGTGCATCAGATTGATCAGCATTGCTTCGTTTGTGCACGGCCATTCTGGCTCAGTTCTTGTTTGTGCTGTTTTGCCGGAAATACTGTGCTGGCATTGCACATGCAGAAACCTGTCTTTGAGCATGAAAGAGCCGTTGTGCAAAATGATGCATGTTCGCTTATGTGCCATGGAAGCTTGTCGTCGAGCATGCGCCGCCCGGGGGGCTTCCACAGGTGCTGCTGCAGGTATCACCGGAGGACGGCTTGTGGTTGAAAGCCTTGTGGCTGCCGATGTCCGCAAAGTCTTCGGCATTCCAGCCACGCACCTGGCTTCCATCTATCGCGTGCTGGAGGATCGGAAAGACATCCAGCACGTAACTATGCGACACGAGCAAGCTTGCGGCTTTGCTGCAGACGGCCATGCCCGGGCAACAGGAGATCTGGCGGTGGCTATGGCGACGACGGGTGTGGGGTTCACCAATGTGGTCACTCCGATGGCCGTTGCCCTGGCGGACTCCGTTCCCATGCTCGTTATAACTACAGAGGTGCCTCGGTTTTGGGCTGAGCGGCCTGGACGCCAGTTTAGCCATTTCGTTCCACATGTCAGCAAGATTGCTGCGTCGGTTGCAAAAGAGTGCTTTGAAGTTGGGAGCGTGGATGAAATCGGCACGACCGTCTCCTCGGCAGCGTCATTGGCGAGATCTGGCCGTCCTGGTCCCGTCCACATCAACATCCCAGTTGATATTCTGAACGCAGTCAGTGCAGGGAAAGACACTTGGGCTACAAGGAAGGAGGCCACATCGGAAGCGTCCTTGGACCAGATGGCGAAGGCCACATTGAAGAGCTTCGCCAGCGACCTTGCTTTGTGTGAGCGACCGCTTATCCTTGCTGGCGGTGGCTCAGTCCACGCATCTTCTCAGCTTCTTGAGTTTGCCATGGCTTTGGGTGCCCCAGTCATAACAACGGTCGCAGGTAAGGGATGCATTGATGAGCGCCATGGTTTAGCAGTGGGTGCTCGACTGCACCTGCCCGCAGCAAGAGACTATTTGTTAGATCATGCGGATGGCTTGATCTTCCTTGGCACTCAGATCTCGCCGACCGACTTCTGGCATTACACATACTCTGCTGATGCTGGGCTCTTGTTAAGGGATGTAGTTTAAGGTGCCATAAATAAAGAAACCATATTGTTTACTATAGATCCCCGTTATGGTACCTTAAATTAAGTTCCATAGCAAGAACCCCCAAACGCTAAACCCTAAAGCCCTAAACCCTTAACCCCAAAACCCTTAAACCCTACACCCCAAAACCCTAAACTCCAAACCCCAAAACCCCAAAACCCTAAATCCGTAAAGCAAAAAAGCCTAAAACCCCAAACCCAGGATGTGCCCCTGAACCCTAAACCCCAAAACCCTAAAACCCCAAACCCCAAACTGCAAAATCCTAAACCTTGAAACCCATACCAGGCTCTACCTACTAGGTATTCCGACTGTAGCAAGGAGGAAAAGGGCCCTCAAAAAAAAAAGAAGCCCAGGATGTGCCCCTATAAATCCCCCAAAACAAGAAAACCTAAAACCCCAAACCCAGGACTTAAAAAAAAACCCAGGATGTGCCTCTGGGGCTCGAGCGTTTCGGCTCTAAAGCTTTGCACGTGGATCTGGACCAGGCAAGTCTGGATCAGGGCGGAGTTGGTGCTGCTGGCAGAGTCTCGATCTTTTGGGAACTAGGGGTTTAGGGTTTAGGTTTAGGCTTTAGGGATACTTTGGGAACTTTTGGGAAATAGGGGTTTAGGGTTTAGGGGTTTAGGGAGGCTTTGGGAAGCTCTTCAATTTCTTTGACGGTTCCTACAGAGGTATCTGTTCATAAGTACTGTTAAGGGCCCCAAAACTACAGCCTAGGAGTCGTGAAAGCCGATGTGGCCGCTGCCTGCAAGTTCTTGGAAGGGCAGCTGGAACGTCAGAGAGAAAGCTGGAATGGACAGCCAAAGGAAGCAGCTGCCCAAGCCAAGCAGCTTAGCGACGACAGCAGAGCCATGACAAAGGCCTTGTCGAAATCCACGACTTCTAGACTCTAGACTACGCCCCTAAACATCCCAAAACCCTCAACAACACCCTAACCCCGAAATCCCTCAACCCTAAACCCCTAAATCCCCCGAAAAGCCCTTTACTCCAAACCCCACAAAAGCCCTTTCGCAGGCTTTGTCCTTAGACTTCGTCCCAGGGACCCCAATGAGCCCCGGGCAGCTGATGTGTCGCACCCTGGAGCATCTCCGCTCCGACCTGCCTCTCAAGGTCCTTGTCATGAAGGGAGTTTTCGAAAATTATCGGGTGCCTTAGGGTTCCTTTAAAGGGTTACTGTAAGGGTACTATAAGGGTTCCTTTACAAAGCTCTCTAAGGGTTTGGAGTTTCCGAAAAATCAGGGGTAGCTTGTTTTGGGGTCCTGATAATAAGGATCCTAGTACTCAGCGTGCCATATTGGGCTCCCCTATCTTCGGAAACCCCCTGAGGAGAAAAATCTACAAAACTTAGAAAAACAGTAGCAACAACAGCAATAGTAATTGCCGTGGTATTAGCACTACTCCAATTATGAAAGGCCCTTATATTCCAGCACCCAACTATAGATCCCTTATCGACCTCCTTTTCAAGAACACTCAGGTGCCTCTCTTCGCTGACATTTGCCGTCTTGGGTATGCAGCTCTGTCCCTCTATCCTGCCTATAGGCCTCGTTCTTTCCTCTACCCTGTTGGCACGACCTGCTTGGGCTATGCACTTCCAGCGGCCATCGGCGGCGCCATAGCAGAACGGGGCTCGCCTGTGGCAGTGCTTGTCGGTGACGGTGGCTTGCAGTTCAACATTCAGGAACTGGCCGTGGCCGCCGAAGAGCGTTTGCCAATCTTGACAATCTTGTGGAATGATAGTGGCTACGGGGAGATACGCAGCGTTTCCGGGGAGTTTGGGACGAGTTGGGTTTCGCCCAACTTTGCGCAGATTTGTGCAGGCTACGGCATAACGCATGTTCTGGTAAATGATATCACATCTCTGGACGAGGCCTTCGAATCTTCGGCAGTTAAAGCGGTGCTGGAGGGAGCTGGAGGTCCTGTCATGCTGGAAGTGGCGTGCCCTCCGGAGGCCAAGGAAGCGAAAGTCGAAGGACAGGTTTCTTCTCGCACGGTCGCGCCTAAATTCATTTTGGGAACCATGACGCTGGGTTGGGACAAGGCATCGTCTTTCGTGGACGAGGCTGTTGCGGCTGAAATGATCAAGCACTTTCTGGCAGAAGGACATCATGAGATTGACACTGCTCGCATGTATTCTGAAGGCCGCGCCGAGCAAATGCTTGCTGGTTGCGTTGCGCAGCTGCCTCATGATCTTCGACGCAAGGTGCTGTTGGCCACCAAGGCAAACCCAGCAGCTGAAGCTGGAGACTTTGCTATCATGGGTGGTTTTCAAGATCCAATGCTATCGTCGCAGTTTACCCGCAGCCTGGATGCTCTCAGCACAGACAACGTGGATTTGTTTTACTTGCACTGGCCCGATAGCACAGCCTCCATGGAGGAGACCCTGCAGCAAGTACAGCGGGCCTACATGGAGGGGAAATTTACTCGCTTTGGTATTTCGAATTATTGGCCCTCGGAGGTAGCTCGAATCCATCAGCACATGAAGGACCGGAATTGGATACTGCCCACTGTTTACCAAGGCATGTACAATGCTCTGACGAGAAATGTCGAGAAGGAACTCTTCCCACTGCTGCGCGACTTGGGAATGAGCTTCTATGCGTTTAATCCCCTTGCAGGCGGCCTCCTTACAGGCAAGCATTCGCTGGAGAAGCCTGCTTCCAGTGGCAGATTCCACCAAAACGCCGACTATCAGAAGCGATACTGGAAGCAAGAGTATTTCGAGGCCATGAAAATGGTCACTTCGCAAACAGAGGCTGCTGGTATCCCCATGTCAGAGGCAGCACTTCGGTGGCTGGTTCACCATTCAATGCTGCGAGGTGAATGCGGTGATGGGCTGATAGTTGGCTGCTCTTCGTTAAGCCAACTGAAAGAAAATCTTTCTGTCTGTGGATCCGAGCCTCTCCCTGTGAACGTCGCAAGAGCATGGGAAGATGCTTGGGAGTGTGTTAAGCCAGTCTGCCCGCCATTTTCTCCGCAGATGCGTTGAGGGTCACGTGCCAAAGAGCCGACTTGATCCTATGTAGCTGCCAGCAAGATCCCGGTAGGGTTAGTCACTGGCTTGTCATGCGGTTTGGAACTGCATGCATCGAAAGGGCTGCTGATTTGATTGGATCTTCTTTTCTTGCGCGTCTGTACCCTGCCCTGGGTTAACGGTTCGTGGGGACTTAGAATACAGGCAGCTTTGGGAGTGAGGAGGCAAGGAGGTGGCTGTAGTAGTAATCGAGACTACGCACGAACCTTGGAGTAGGGGGGTTTAGGGTTTAGAGATAGTTTACAGATGCTTTGAGGCTCTGTTGGCCTCACACTTCCGGTAGCTCCACGAGCTATTCGTGCATCGTGCGATGGTCGCCCGCTACTTCGGAAATGCTACGCATGGCACTGCAAAGACACGTGCACACGAAGTCGGACGCAGGCTGCTGCCCCCATGATGGTTCACAAGTCAGTCCCGAGCAGTTAAATCGTCGTTATGAATGCAGAGAACGGCAACATGCAGTGGTAATGTGAACACTATTGAGTTACAAAGAGAACACTTGCAAAATCATTGATGCGACACGAGCAGGCTGGTTTTCCAATTGTATTACTACTGCTACCGCTACCGCTACTTCGTATTAGTCGTAGTAATGGTAGTAGTAGTAGTAGTAGTAGCAGTAGTAGTCGTCGTAGTAGTACCACCACCTACAGCGCAACACGGCAACTGATGCCATGGCTCGGTGTAGGCAGGTCTTCACTCCGCCCCTTCTGTGCCTTTGCCTGGTACATTCTGCTTTCGGCGCAGCATCGAGGCAGATTGTGACGAAACGCACCTCAACGGGTGTTGTCGAGCAAGATGTGTGGTTTTCCCACTGTACGGTGATCGCGGCTGTTAGCACAAGCTTGCGCTTTGCCGATGCACGTACCGCTCGGCGTTGGGTTCTGTGACGCATCTGTCAGCAGGATCTGGGTCTCAAAAGGCGTGATCCAGATCTCCGTTCGGGTTTGGCTAGTCGGAGGAGGAGTGTCAGGGTCGGAACCGCCACCAAACAAGTCCCAAGCTCTCAACTCCTTTGTCCAAGAATCCCCGCCTTCATATTGCTGCCTCCTTCAAGGGAAATCATGCCACAATAGCCACTCCCTGTGCTGTACTTTATTATGTTGCTTTGTCTTAGATACAAGGACATGGAGATGTTTGAACACGCAGCATGCTGTGTGTTCTGCTGTGAACCGTGCCAAGCCCAATCGGGGCCCTGGAAATCCAAAAATGCGCCCTCACCACGGTGCCGTTGTTTTGTGCAGCTCGTGCATTTGGCCTGGCATGGTCGGTGCAAACGCGCCACAGTGCCATGCGAAGTTTTGGGTGGACTTCGCGGGGTGCCGCAAGAATTTTGCACTTAGAATGGTTCTGCAATTAGGGGTCTACTAGACTACGCCGAAACCTTAAGCCCTAAGGTTTCGAGAAGTGGTTTATTGGTTTCAGAGTTTACCTTCTGGGCAGTGAGGGGAGCTTAATCATTGCGTTCCATTGGCTAATCCCAATTACTCACCGTTACCATGCTGTTTGTGGAATGATTGCAATGGCAGGGACGAAGGCAGTTGCTTGGCTCCAGCAGCCGCGCTCCAAGAGCTTGTGGATCTCAGAAAGTACAGGACTGACTGTCCTCAATGGTTTCATGTGGGTGGTTGTCAAAATTATGGTCCCTTTTCGGGTACCCTAAATATTGGGTGCGGTGTTACAATTAGGATCCAAAAAGGGACCCTAATATTGACAACCACCCATGTGTTTGCGATTTATGGTTTGGGGTCCGCGGCTGTTGGGCATGAGATTCGGATTTTCGGTTTTTGTTGACTTGTAATTATTTCCAGATTCGAAAGGCTGCCGGATCTACCATCGAGGAATGTCATCAGCAGTTTTGGGGTTTCGGAGCCTTCGGCCGTCGTCCCTAAACCCTAAACCCTAAACCTTAGACCCTAAACCCTAAACCCTGAACCCTCAACCCTAAACCCTAAACCCTCACATTGCGGGTTGGTGCATCTTGCATTCGACTCGCCGCAGCTTTGTCCGGAATTCTCAACCTTAGGATTCGGGGTTCAAGCAGAGATAGGGTTTAGGGTTTAGGGCTTAGGGTCTAGGGTTCAGGGCTTAGGGTTTAGGGTTTAGGGTTTAGGGCTTAGGGCTTAGGGATTAGGGATTAGGGTTTAGGGCTTAGGTTTTACGGTTTAGGGAGATTGAAGGCATGAGGGCCGGGAAGCAGGAATTTCTCAAGTTTGTTCAACCCGCTGCCGGGGTGTTCTTTTTCAGGAATTCGCAAGCCGTGCTTCGAGACATCGCCAAGGTCTCCCAGGCGGGAGTCCACAATCACCTACTTGGAGGTTGATGGGTAGCTATAAGTGGGGTTATAAGTCCCTTTTTAGGGGTTAGAATTATAATATAGTTACCCACCGATAACTCCACTTACTTGTATAACTATACCCATGAACCTCTAAGCAGACCTCATGTGTCGGTCTTGGAGCCTTTTCCGCTCTCTCTACCGATCCTGCCGCCACGGCAGAGTCACTTGCCAGCGTCTTCTGGGCTCGGCTTAGGGTTAAGGGCTGAGGGTTTAGGGTTCCGGGATTCCCCGTTTTGCCATTCGTATCAAACTGGTTGCCATGTTCTGGGCGAGGCATTCTTTTGTCGACGCTGCGTCAGATGGATTCCCGAAACCCCGCATCTATTCGGCCATGCACAGTGTTAGTGGAGCGCGGGCAGACTTGAAACTGAACTCGAGTTCGTTTATCTCAGGCCCTCTGCTCTTTGTTTGCCCCAAGCAGTGGGCTCGGAAACCCTTCATTGCCCTGGCAATGCTTGCATTTGGCCTCCTTTACGCCTCTTCAGGCGACGCTGCAGCTGGAGAGGAAGATGAAGCTGCATTATGGCGTCCAGGATCCATCCGATGAGGCACAGTGGCTTTTCGCCATACTCTTGTGCCTCTTGGTGGTGGTAAAGCATCCATGCCAAGCACTGGAGCCCGTGGACGTGCCTCCCAGTCTTTTGTAGTGGCGAGCGCAACCCTCGACTCTATGGACCATTCCCCCATCCCTACTACCCTAAACCCTAAACCCTAAAACCCTACTACCCTAGACCCTAAACCCCATTCCTCCATTCCCTACTAATCAAAGGTAAGAACCCCAAACCCCGAAACCCCCAAACTCGGACCCCATCGGGAGCCCCAGAGGAGCCCTGAAGCGAACCCTTAAAGGGACCTGAATCTTAGAGTTACCTTTATAGGAACCCTACTTGGAGGAACCCTACTTGGAGGTTCATGGGTAGTTGTACGTGGGGTTTTAAGTCCCTTAATATGGGTGAAAAATTATAGTTACCCTAGTTATAACCCCACTTGTAACTACCCATGAACCTCCAAGTAAAGCAGCCCTTAAAGGGACTTGCCACGCTGCCTGGAGCTCCCAAGCCAGGTGCCGCTTTGCCAAGAGACGCCCTTGCCGCGCCCGGGAAATCTGCACAGTATCAAAAGCCACAACTACTACGTAGGACCGGGATTGGGTTTGGGAACTACGTGGGACCGGGCTTGGGTTTGGGAACTACGTGGGACCGGGCTTGGGTTCGGGAACTACGTAGGACCTGGCTTGGGTTTGGGAACTACGTAGGACCGGGCTTGGGTTTGGGAATGGTTGATGGTTTAGGATTGAGGAATCGGGGTTAATGGTTTAGGATGTAGGGTTGAGGGTTTCGACATGAACCATTTGTGAAATTTTCTAACTCGAGCTCCAAGCCGTAAAACCTTCAAGCCCAAAACACCAAAAACGTGGCTCAGATCCCTTATACATCTTATACCCTAAACCCTAAACCCTAAACCCTAAACCTAAATACTTATAATCTTAAAAAGAGCCAGGAGCGATCCGGGAAGCGCATCCCCGATTGTCTTTGCCGGCAGTGCAGTCCATCGTGGCTTCGGAGCAGCTTGGTTCATGTCTAGAGTCTAGAGTTTAGGGTTCAGGGTTTAGGGTTTAGGGTTTAGGGTTCAGGGTTCAGGGTTCAGGGTTTAGGGTTCAGGTTCTAGGGTTTAGGCTTGAGGGTTCTAAGGGTTGGAGTTCAGGGTTTGGCAGTTTAGCGTTTCGAGTTTTGGGCTTAGAGTTGATGTTTTGTATTGGAAGTCGGGTGAGGCCAGTGCCAAGGCTTAAGGCCTGGGACCCTGCCACTGATTTGCACGGAGAGTCTGGTTTCTTACAACGGAGTTCCGTGATTTTTGACAGGGATTGTGGTGCCATTTGTAACCTAAACTTAGAAACCCTTAAAGCCTAGACCCTACCTGTAGCCGAAAAGACCTACCTTTTTGGGGTTCCTTATTGTGGTCTCTATATATAGTTCCTTAAAAAGGTAGGTCTTTTCGGCTACAGGTAAGCCCTAAACCCTGTTCTGCGCCTTCCTGCTTCAGACCGCCAACCTTAAGCTTAAAACGTATACATACCCAGAGGGTCCATAGACACTGCCATCCCGAATTAGGTCCGAAAAGGCCCCTTCTTTTTTGGTCTTGGGGACCTAATTCCATAATTGTTATCTATATGGACCTTCTGGGATACCGTCGACCCGACCTCAGCTGCCGAGGTGGTACCACCCAGGATTGACTGCCAAAGGTGTGCCTTGGATTATTCTGGATGAGTTGTAAGCTGTCTTCGCAATGTCGGGTTTGAGTTCTGGAGCTTGTTGAATATCATAGTCATATAGGCACAACTGCTCCCCTGCCTCCCAGAAACCAGCTGCTTAGTGCAAGTGTCGATGTTGACTTTTGTTTTGGAGTTTCAGACCACGGGAAACCCTAGGAACCTAGTATAGAACCCTACATGAATGTGCCCTTAGTTTCATCATCAGGAAAGCCAGAACAAGGATATAATAAGGTACCCTTGTTGTGTTAGCTGCGTGTCCGAATTTCCAGTGGCAAGTTCTGGAGAATTGGGCTTCGGGGCTTGGGGTGCGTTTTTTCCAACCACGGCACGGTACTTGAAGTGACAAGCATCTAAACCTTAAACTCTAAACCCCTCAAGCCTAAACCCTCGACCCTAAAGGCTTAGACCCCAAGCCTTACTGGAGGCTCCGGACAGCCAGAAGCAGTGGCAAAGTAGATCGTCAAGCGTCGTCATTTCAAGCCCGAGATGCTAAGATCCGTCATGCTTTCTGCCAGGACCCCGCCGCCTCTAGGGACCATGAACCCTACTTGAAGGGTCGGGGGACTTAGTAACTGGTTATTTTAGGGACTTATAAGTACCATAACCCCAGTTAGGGTCCCTTTCAGGGTACTTATAAGTTACTACCTACTTACTAAGTCCCCCGACCCTCCAAGTACACCCTCAACTGGGAGTTTCCGAAAATAGGGGAGCCTGATATAGTACCCTAAATAGTAGGATCCCTATTATAAGGACCCCAAAATAAGGTACCCCTTGTTTTCGGAAACTCTCAACTCCTCAATCTCCAAAGCCTAAACCCACCGAAAATCGACAATCGAAAGCCCGAACCTTGCTGCGCACGTAGAGCCCCCTAAACCCTAAACCCCTAAACTCCTAAACTCCTAACCCCGCAACCCCAACACAGAACTCCTAAACCCCAAACTTACCTTTGGTTAGTAGGGAATGGAAGAATGGTAGTAATAGTAGGTATAATTGTACCCCAGTCCTCCATTCCCTACTAACCAAAGGTAAGTAAACCCCTACATAAACCCTGGTACCTTATAGATCCCTTTAAAGGAACTCTTCTAGAACCCTTATAGATCCCTTTACAGGAACTCTTCTACAACCCTTATAGATCCCTTTAGAGGAACTCTTCTACAACCCTTATAGATCCCTTTAGAGGAACCCTCTAAACCCCAAGCCTTGGAGGTGTACACCCTACACCCTAAGCCGAGAACCCTAAACCCTAAGACCTAAACCCCAAACCCCTAAGCCCAAAACCCGTAAACCCAAAACCCCTAAACCCCTAAACCCCTGAAACCCTAAATCCCTAAACCCTTATAAACTCTAAACCCTCCAAACCCCAAGCCACAAGGTCTGGTGTGTCGACAGTTGCTCCTCGGCCTTTTGCACCCTCCCGGAGGGAGGGCCGAAGCCCGCTTTAAGGTTTAGGGCCTTTCAGGGTTCTTTTTAGGGTTTAAGGTTTAGGGTTCCTTTTAGGGGTTTAGGGTTTAAGGTTTAGGGCCTTTTAGGGTTCCTTTTAGGGTTTGGGGGTTAGGGTTCTTTTTAGGGGTTTAGGGTTTAAGGTTTAGGGTCTTTAGGGTTTAGGGTATTATCCCAATACCCTGTGTTCATGGACTTTTATATAGGGGTGCTTTGGAGTTTCAACCGCACTGATTTACTTCGGCGCCCCATAACCCTAGTATTTAGGATTTTGGGTCTCTACTAGGGTCCTTTACAGCCTAAGCCACAAAACTCAGATACCTCGAGAGCATTTGGTTTCTGGTGTCCGAGGCTCATGATGCCTTTAAGGCTTTGCGGAAGATTCAGTTACGCTACTTACTTGGAGGGTCTTTAGGTGACTTAGTAAGTAGGTGGTAAGTAGACTTATAAGTACCCTAAGAATGGACCCTAATTGGGGTTATCGTACTTACAAATCCCTAAGATAATCAGTTACCAAGTCCCCCGACCCTCCAAGTAGCCTTACAAGTTACATTAGTGTCTCAGAAGATGCAACGGGCACTCTCCGTAATCTCATGCTGAGCAGGCACGAACCCTCAACGCCAAGTCCTCAACATGGCAATCCTGCAGCAGCGGCCCGAAGCCCCGGAAATCCGGAGAACACCACGCCAAAGCTAACAGCCATGTTAACATCCCGCAACCCCCAAACAATACACCCTGAACTTGAACCCAGAAAATGCGCATCCACAATTAACCTCAATTGCTTTCAACCGCAGGTGAGCTCCCTCTGGCGCAGCGCTTCAACGCACACTTTCCGGCCATCCAGCGGGAAGTCCAGCGTTTCTGGGACCATCCAGACCTGGAGGCCGTGCAGGTTTCAGTTTTGGGCGTCGAAATGCAGTGTTGGAAGGAAGCTGGGTTCCAGCCGCAGCGCAACTTGTGAAGACTCTAGTGTTGTAACATTGTTGCTGCTTGTTTGACGACGGCGATGACTACAGCCACAACCACCATTGCGATTATCTACGACGACTAACTATTGCATACCAGTACTATGTTGTCATTGCCACTACTACGACGAAGCCGCCGACGATGCTGCACACATACGTACGTCCGTAGGTAGGTATGTGATGCTGAATATGCATGTGAATAAGAATATGCACAAATCTGTATGTACACATCTATAACTATATCTCTGTCTGTATCTATATCTGTATCTATATCTACATCTATATATCTTATCTTTCTGAAACAAGAGTCCTCGAGCAAGCGAGGCTATTTTCTGGCTATTCTCATGTTTCGCGACGTAAACCTCCTCGGTAGGTAGGGTCCTTTTTTCTGGATCCCGGGTTTGGGGCTTGGAGTTTGGGGCTGGACAGAGCAGCTGCAAAAAGAGTGGCTATTCGAAACCGATCGTTTCAATCATAATCACGACATGTAGGTTACGATGATGATGGAGGGGATAATGACGACGAGGATGATGCTCAGTGCTTTAAGTTTGTGCGACCTCGAGGAGCATCTGAAGGGTGTGGGTACGCACACGACGCGCTTCTTGGCAGAAGATCCGTGCGCACATAATCCGGCGCAGGCATGCTTGCATCTGCAAGCAGAAGACGGTGCTACAGCCCTTGATGCCCAGTACCGTCCCTTGTCTTTCCCGACAAGCATAAGTGCATCAGTTCCCGTAGAGCCATGGCAGTGCGAAGAGAGTCTCTGTCGATATCCGGAGCTTCCGTTTTTTTCGTAGTCGTTTGCTATGGATCCATGGGTGTAAAGCAATGAACTTTGCCCAGCTCGCCTTCCACGCACTTAGATCACAAGGGAGCAGGTCGTGACCTCTTCTCATTCGATGGGCAGACTTCCCACTTCCAGCCTAAACTCCAGACCCTAGACCCTCTTACACCGCAAAACCTTGAACCGTGTGTCGCGCTTCTAGGCTTCGATCGCCTCATCGCCGGGAACGGAACTTGGGTGGACGTGACTGGGTTCTTGTTAAGCATCTTCGTTTAAGTTGATTTAAGTTTGCAGTAACCGGGATGGCCATTATTGTGGTATCTCGGACACAGTTCCTAAACGAGAAGCCAGGTGAGGCTCTGGCGTGGTCGTGCCTTTAACAAGAAGCTCTGCGAGCGACACTTCAGGGTAGTTTGCAGTGGCCCGGTCCGGTCTAGCAGCATGCTTTAGGTACTGCCCCCATACAGTAAGAGTCTATAATAGGGCTTCTATTAAGGTCCTAATATAGCCTTATTATGAATACTATTCAACTATTACTGGGTGGGGGCCGTACCCAAAGCATGCTTTATGTTTTCAATTGCCTGCAAATTTCATGGTATCGAGGGATAGTAGGGTCAGCGCCAACAATGAGATTGACAAGTCATGTCTACTATGGGAACACTACTCGTCGCCTGCCGCCGATCGAGTCGGTTCATCCTCGTCATCATCCTTCCCAAGGCTGCTCCCAGGTTTATCCTCCTTGCTCCTTCCACCGTAAACTCTCCACCCTACACCCCAAACCCCAAACTCTGAAACCCTAAGCTCGTGACTTAATATGGGGGCCTTGATAACTACCTTTACTATTTTGGGGGCTCCTTATTAAAATTCTAGTATAACGGGCACTAGAACTCTATTCTAAATATTAAGGCCCCTACAGTAAACCCTACACCCAAAACCCTAAAACCCATTTCTGAGTTTGGGGTTTAGGGTTTAGGGTGTAGGGTGCAGAGCTTACGGTGGAAGAATCAAGCCTAAACCCTAAACCCAAAATCCTAAAACCCATTTCTGAGTGGGGAGGCCTTGTGGAGGCATCGCCTGAGATCTGGACGAACCCCTGGAGCCACGTCCTCTTAAGCGTGCTGCTGGGTTGCGGTTAAGGAAGTCATTAGTTTGAGTCACCAAGGGTTCTATAAAGGTTGCTTTAAGGGATCTGAAAGAGTTCTAGGTTTAGGGTTATTTCAGGTTACGACAATTTGAATATTGAGAAAACAAGGTTTCTCTATGATATTAACTTAGTTTAAGATGCCGTAGTGGGGATATAGAGGAAAACGAGGTTTCCGTGTTGTTATACTAATTTAGTTTAAGTTTCGTAATTTAAGTTTCTTAATTTAAGCTTCTTAATTTAAGTTTCTTAATTCAAGTTTCTTAATTTAAGTTTCTTAACAGCTTCTTCAGGCTGGAGCCGGACAGCTGGGTGCCCTTTCATCAGGGTCACAGCAACGGTCAGCTGACGTACCATGTTCCGGTGTCGGAGATGCACCTCAAGAAGCTTCCCTAAGCCCGACTGAGGCCCCTTTAGTAACTATAAGGGGTTCCTTTAGGGTTCCTTTAAATGGATCTATAGGGATTCTATAAGGGTATAGGGTTTAGGGTTTAGAGTACTCTCACTCCAAGGGTAAAAGGAAGGACCCTTAATAAGGACCCTTATTAAGGACCCCTACGTATATACCCTTAATATAGCTCTTATATACCCATTATATGGTCCATTATAGGGTAGAGGTCCCCATGAGGGGTCCCTCCTTTTCCCCTTTGATTCACTAAGCCCGACTCAGGCCCTTTTAGAACCCCGGCTAGACCCCTGGGTAGTTGTCAAAATTATGGCCCTTTTTTGGGGTACCCTAAATATTAGGTGCCGTATTAGAATGAGGACCCAAAAAGGGACCGTAATTTTGACAACCAGCCCCCTTGTCACCCCTGAAAGTCACCCTTTAACGGAACCCGATTCTAAAAAGCCTTGCTCCAGCTGGCGAGGTAACTTTGCCCTCGAATTCCGCAGCCGAGCTGGCAGTGGTTCCTCGGGGTGGTGCTCTCCCGGAGGATGACCACGACAGGCCCCTATCAAGAAGCTCCTTTCGAGCATTTTTTCAGCAAGAAACTCCGAGCTCAGCAAACCCCCAGACTCCAGACCTCTTTCTGCAAGCCACGGTTGATGATATAAATCCTGCATTACCCATAATAAGGAATATACCATAATTCCCATAGTTTAGGGTCCTTAAGGTAATGCAGGGTTTATATCATCAACCCTAAACCCAACAACCCTATAGATGCCTTAAAGGAACCCCTTAAAGCCCATATAGATCCCTTTAAAGGAACCATCATCCACAGCATGTCCAGGATTCAATCTCATCCAGAAGAGCAGACCGCCACTCGGAGACGATTTAGATGACTTTGAAATGTTTAGGATGTAGTTGAAGGCTGGACTGTATGACCCGGTTTAGGGTTTTGGGGTTTAGGGTTGAGGGTTTGCCGGTAGTTGTACTAGGGTCGGGGCGATTGGAATGAATACTAGGATTGCCAGCACGAGAGTCAGCAGTAGTGCTAGAGTTTCCAGACGTGACCAGTGTTGCTAGCTGGCAAGTCTTTGATTTCGCATGGAATCGTACGTGATGTCCTTAATCCAGGAGCTGCGCGATCAGAAGCGTCAGCTTTGTGTGCACAGCTTGGTTGCTACGTACTCTTAACTCGTCCATCATGATGACGAGACTGCCTTTTTCGAAAACGATTAGTTTCTCACTCCATTTGGACACGTTGCAGTTGAACATCATCCCGACGATAATCGTCGCTTCCTCTATCCACGTGATTGCACTCGCGGCCATCGCATCCTTTCCATCACTGTTATCATTGCCCATGGTGGCCATCGCCAGCACCATGATTATTGTTGCTGCTGCCAGGATCCGCCAGTGTCGACATCGTCTTTCTCAGAGTAGCTATCAGTAGTATTTTTGTGAGTTTCATCTAGACTAGCAATGTCCCGATCAGCGCTAGCCCTGTTCCGAGGATGGTTATCTTCGTAATTCGTCAACATAAGAAGATGTAGGTCGAAGTCCATGTGTAGGACAACTTGTGTGTTATAAGTGTGCTTTGGTGTTACTCGGACTGTTGTTTATCGCCTCCTCCAGTGATTGTTCAGCATGCTACTCATACCAGGGTGATGACTGCTAGCGCCTAGCAATTTCTACTAGCTGGCGCAATTGCTATTTGCAATTCGTACTGCAATCCTTGTTATGGTCAGTATCAGGTTTCTTCGAATGACTTTGGGAGTTTCCGAAAATAGGGGACCCTAATATGGGACCCTAAATAGTAGCATCCTTACTAAGAGGACCCCAAAATCAGGTACCCCTATTTTCGTAAACCCCCTTGTAGTGAACACATGTTTTTTTGCATGGTAAGAAGGATCTTGGCCGGCTTTGCCTCCAGTTTTGGATTCTGCTATCAGTCATTGCAAGTATCGTTGGAGTTCTGGCAATTACTAACCACTGATATTGGGGGAGCTAAGGAGCCAGGGATGATGATCATCCCTATTACATAAGGAGCTAAAGAGCCAAGGGCACCCCAAAACCACTGGTTAGATTATCATGGCAAGGTGTCATGGAAGCCGGGTAAGACACTTGTCTTCGACGACTCCTTCTCCCATGCTGTGCGCTATCGTACCTTGGATGTGCACTTCAGCACACCCTCTCTTAAAACTGCTATTCGTATGGATATCTCATCCTGGCCCAAGGAGGTGTCGATGTTTTTGAGAAGTTCGTTTACTTTAGGTACGATTGTGATCATTATCAAGACAATTCTTGTGATGCTCCTGATGATGCTGATCAGTAGTGTGTGAGTCGGTGTTGCAGCAGCCGAAATCTTACACCTTTTTGAGTTCCGGGTTTTCTAGGGTTGAGGGTTGAGGCTTTAGGTGTTGAGCTGATGCCCTCTCACCAAGCGTGGGGACCCGCTATGTAATCACAAAATCTGCCGTAAGCTCTCGTCAGTGTTGTGAAACAGTCCGCAACCGTTACGCCTTAAACCTGTGACCCCTCCAAACTCTAAACTTCAAGCCGAAGCCCAAAACCTTTTGACGCTCCTAATTAAATCCCAAACTCTTAACCCTACTTGGAGGTTCATTGGTAGTTATAAGTGGGTTATAAGTCCCTTAATGGGGGTTTTAATCATAGTTAGCTTACTTACAACTCCACTTATAACTGCCCATGAACCTCCAAGTAGGCCTTGAACCCTTATAGAATCCTTATAGATCCCTTTAAAGGGACCCGTAAGGGAGCCCTTATACCTACCCATGAACCTCCAAGATAAGCTTGTGACTCAGACCAGGAGGGTCCTTGTCGGGGGCAGGCCGGATCTCTCGAGCTCCGTCGCGGCTGCCTTAGGGTTCAAAGTTTGGGTTTTGGGTTCAGGGTTTAGGGTTAAGGGTCTTGGGTTTTAGGGTTTAGTATTTAGGGTTTAGGGATTAGTGTTTAGGGGTTTAGGGTGCAGGGTTTAGGGTTCAGGGTTAAAGTTTAAGGGTTCGAGGATGTGAAGTTTACGGTTGCTTGACGGGTCCTTTCAGGGTCCGATATTTTATTCAAACGGTTCATACAAACCCCAAACCCTAAACCCCAAACCCTTAAAAAAAAACCCAAACTCATGGCCTAGGCCGCCCACCTTCGATGGTGGGCAGCGCTTGAGCCCCTCGATCGATGGCACAGGTCGATCCAGGACGCTCGCCTGCCGTCCCACAGCCAGGGGTACTGTAGCCTTGCCACGCGACCTTCTGGTCCAGTGGGCGGAGGCTGGGGTCGCGGGTTGACGCTGTCTCCCGTTTACCTTTTGCGTCCCTGTCCGCAGGTTCGCAACGTGCGCTGCACCAATGCTGCCTTGCGCAGCCGTCTGGTCGAGGTTTGGCGTCGTGTCGCCTCGCTCGAGAACCGCGAGGGCGCTTTTTTGTGGGAACTGGGCTGCCTCCGAGGCGCCTAGTCTACCCAGTCTCGCGCAGCAAAACAAGCCGTCGCCGGCCAGTGCCCGTAGTAGTGGTGCTAGTAGTAGTACTGGTACTCGTCGTCATAGTAGTGGTAGCAGAAGTGGTAGTAGTAGTAGTAGTAGTAGTAGTAGTAGTAGTAGCAGTAATAGTAGCAGTAATCGTAGTGGTGGTAGTAGTAGTAGTAGCAGTAGTAGTAGCAGAAATCGTAGTAGTGGTCGTGGTAGTAGTAGCACTACTAGTAGTTGCGCCTCTGCTCAGACGTGCTGCTTCGACTGCTGCATGTTTCGCAGACTTTGACCGGCTGGGCTTCGACGCTAGCTTGAGCTTCGTGCCACCGCCGTGTTGGCTTCTGCAGTCACTGCAGTGATCTAGATTTAGATTTTGCCTTGTTCGCTTCGCTCGCCGCTGCGCGTGCCATGCCGTCTGTACATGTCCAAGAGGTCCAGCGAAGGTGCGGCCAGGAAGCCGCGGTCAACCAGTTTTTCTCGGATCTGGAGTCTTCAGAGTTTCCGGACGCGATCCTTCGCGAGCTCTACCTGGACCTTGTAGGGCATTGGGAGGTGGTCGGAAAGCTAAAGTCCGTCCCCTGGCAATGGGTTTGCTCCGTGGAGCTTTCCCTGGCAGGCTTTTTGGCGCCGACAGCTTGTCTTTACCCGGTGCAGAGCATTGCTATCTTTGCACTCACGTGGGCTTTCCTGCTACACCCCGGCAGCATGCAGACATCGGGTCTCTTGCGCTTGTACCAGGACTGATTGTATGTGATCGAGCGAGCAGTCAACCTGGACCGCGAGGAGGCCGCCACGGAATGGCGTGCCAGCCACCCGAACCCAGGGCCGCAGGAGAAGAATCCTTATGAAGGCCGCGTGAATTTTTCTCTCGGCTCCGGGTCCTTGGAGGGAGAAGGCAAGGTTGCTTCTCAGACTTGCAATTTGGGAACAGCCTGTGCATTTCTGACCGAGGGAAAGCGCTGGTTTACCTGGCTCTCCGCCGAGGGCACCCTGAATGAAACGATCGTGACTGAGCTCTTCGAGCGCGCCAAGTGGCGGCGCGTGACGCTGGACGGCAGCCGCTCTTTCACGATCATGTTTCCTTTCTTTGCGCTCGGTGGCGACGTACACCTCCCGGACGTCGCCTTCATGTTCGCTGGCGACGATCCTCGCGGCATTCGAAGGCCTGCGCGCTTCATGTACACGAGGCAGGTCGCTTTTGCTGTGGGTTTCCTTGCTTGACTGTCTCCGCTTTTGCATGCTGCTTTTGTCGGCTCTAGGGAAAGCTTCGGTCGGAGTTCCTGTCATGCCGCGTGTTTGCAAGCCTTTCTTGCCGTTCTCGCCGCAGCCATTTTTTGCCTCATACCGCCCTCAATGCTATGGAAACCCCGTCCTGCCTGTTGCTTTCTCAAGCATATTTTCCGGGAGCAGAAGCTTGGCTGCAGAATTGTGTGGTTGTTGTGGACCTAACAGAGTTTAGGTCCTAAGCCCTAAAAGGTATAGGTTTGGGTAGTTTGCCGCCTCGGACGGCGTGGGGTGGGTGAGTTATGTGATGGCCCGTCACAGTCGGGCCATGGCTGCGATTCGCAGGCAACAAAACCGCTAATAGATCTTACAATCCATGTTACACGGCCGCTACGCAATCTTGCAGCAAACCCTAAACCCTAAACCTCAAACCCTAAATCCTAAAGTCCGATAACGGTTCCCCCGCTTTCGGGCGATTCGGGGTTAAGGGGTTCATGGCCAGAAGGTTTGGGAGTGGAGGGTCTTGGGGCTCAGGGTTCAGGGCTTGGGGAGCGATACTGCGGGTTTAGGGTTCAGGGTCATGCTGGCTGATCGGATGATGGCGGCTTTGCGATTTTGTTTAAAAAGTTTTTGGGGATGAGGATTGTGAAGTTGGAGTGTCGGTTTCGAGAGGTCGTGAAATACCCAAGGGGTGGTTGTGTCGAATCTTCGATGCCTGTGCAGAGGTCCTGCTTGATGGCGGTGTGTACCCAGGCCCATCACTGGAACCGAAAGTTGTCAAAAATGATCATGAAACCATGGCCACCTCCCTAACGACGTGGATCCCCGTGAGAGTTTGCACTAGAGCCTCAGTAGTTAGAATAGGCTTGTGGGTGTTGCTTTTAGTGCCGGCATACACCGATTATAAGAGGGATACTAACATAATTCGTCATACGGCTGATGGTATAAATCCGGCATTGGCCATAAGAAGGAATGCACCATTATTCCCATAGGTTCGGGTCCTTTAAGGTAATGCATGATTTTTATCATCAGCAGTACCCTTACCCTAAACCCTAAACCCTAAACCTTAACGAAGCCTGCGAAGATGAGCCGAAGCGGCCGCGGCTTCTGCTCCTGACCCGCGCGTGGCATCCGGAGCCTGGGTTCTTGTTAAGGAATTGAATTCAAGTTACCATTTTAGGGATCTATAGTGAATAATGTGGCTTCTTTGTTATGGTAACTTACATTAAATCCCTTAACCCCTGAACCCTATGTTGAACCCTTATGGGTCCCTTAAAGGAACCTTAAAACTACTGTTGATGGACCAAAATCCTGCATTACCCATTATGAGGAATATACCATAGTTCCCATAGTTTAGAGTCTTTACTTGGAGGGTTGGGGGACTTAGTAACTGGTTATTTGAGGGACTTATAAGTACCATAACCCCAGTTAGGGTCCCTTGTAGGGTACTTATAAGTCTACCTACTACCTACTTACGAAGTCCCCCGACCCTCCAAGTAGGGTCATGCAGGATTTTGTCCATCAGCAGTATGGTAACTTAAACTAAGTTCCTTAAGAACCCAGGAGCTGGATGCGGAGGAGAGGTCTGCCCTCCGATCCTCGCTTGCACAGTCGGTGTTTTAGGGTTTAGGGGGTTTCGAGGGTTTAGGGGGTGTAGGGGTTTAGGGTTTAGAGTTTAGGGGGCTTCGGGGTTTAGGGCTTAAAGTTTAGGGTTTAGGAGGTTTAGGGGTTCAGGGGTTTAGGGTTTAGGGGGTTTAAGGGTTTTCGGATTTAGTGTTGAGGACTTCCAGTAAGATTCCCATGTTTTGTTGGGTACGTCCTACCGCTCGTCGTGGGTGAGAGCTTCGCATGTGCTGCGTCCCTTCGCGCACCATCTTCCGTTGCAGGCGAGTTCATTCGGAAGGGTGGCGAGGAACGGCCAGAAGGATATGACGCTCGTCGGACATTGGATCTTTGCGCAGCCATGAGCTTGCCGTGATCTCGCCAGAACTCCATGGAATTTTCACTGTGTGGAGGTTTGTCTGCTCCTTCAGATGGGCAATGCCTAAGCGATCCTAAGCCCGAACTCTTCTTGCCTTCCGACTGGTTCGCAGTCTTAGCCGAGGAGATGCTGCCACTTCCTGCGACCCTGTGATTCCCGGGGAGCTCGTCCGGACGTGGCATCGTGTCTCCGCGAAGGAGGACTGAGAGGTCTCAGGCATTGGAACGGTTGATGATAGAAATCCTGCATTACCCATGATAAGGAATATACCATAATTCCCATAGTTCGGGATGTATATCATCAACAGAGTGGAGGGTGTCTGTCAGTTGGGGACAAGACCCGAAACCCTAACCCAAAGCCCCGAACCCTAAGCCTTCAACCTTCAACCCCGAACCCTCAACCCTAATCCCCACGCCCTAAACCCTAAACCTAAGCCCTAAACCCTAAACCTAAACCCTAAACCCCTAAACCCTAAACCCTAACCCTAATCCCTACGCCCTAAACCCTAAACCCAAGCCCTAAACCCTAAACCCTCAACCCTAAACCCCTAAACCCTAAACCCAGAGGCCTCGAGGGTATCTTCAGGCTTGCAGTCTTTCTGAGATCTGGGAGGCAAGGCCCAGCGAGTACGTGTCAGACTGCCGCAGCTTTGGTTCCATGGGAGAGGCAATATGGAGATCGGAACTAGGAATGCTATTTAGAGTATATCAGAAAGACGTGTAATATTGCTTATAGTATATCAGAATGATTAGCAGGATTGCTTACAGATTACTGTAGTAACGTGCCCCAAACCCTATTTTCAATCATGAAGGCCCCGAAATAATACCTTGTCAGCATGCCCTTGTCAAAGCTACCAAGCCATCATCTGGATTTCTACCGCTTCCAGCAGCTTCATTAAAGGTTTATTGCTGTTATCATCGTGATGCTTGCTACTGCTCTGGCATGTGTTTCGGTTGCCTCTGCACTCAATCAAAGGCCAAGAGGGTTCAAGGGTTTTTTCCGCTGGCGTTTGAACCGTAGAGACAGGTTAAGAGTGTCGCCGCAGCGAAGGGGATCAGGGATATAAAATTGCGGCCTAAACAGTTACTACTATTTTAAGGGTTCCTTATTTACTCACAGTATGGGGGCCCATTACCCTATTCCAAGTATTAAGGCCCTTAGATTACTGACCCAATTGCCCATGGCTGGCATTCGTCCATGGCTCTTGGAGCCTGGCGGTGCCTTCTTCTGAGGGCCACAGGCCCCACCCGAGTGTTCGGGGCTTTGGCGCTTCTTTCCCTTTAGTAGGGAATGGGGGAATGGATTATTGGGGATGTATTATTGGGGATTTTATAGGGGTACTAATTATAGGGGTCCATTCCACCATTCCCTACTAGGCACATTTGGGGGATTTTTTGGCAAGAGTTTGGGGGTTACCGAAATTCGAGGGCTTGGTCCCTCAGCTCCGAATCCTGCAAACCCAGATGCCTGAACTCCGAAACTCTGCTCTCACCAAACGTCTGCTTGGAGGTTCATGGGTAGGAAAAACTGGAGTTAACAGTTCCCTAATATGGGTTATAACTATAGCTACCCTACTTTTTTAATCAATTTGTAACTGCCCACGAACTTACGAGGGGTTTGGAATCTCCGAGTTTTCAAGAACCCAAGGATGCTTTTGCCAAACCACCAAGGCCCCCGTAAGCTAAAGTCCAATAAACCACAAACCTTATACTCCCGATCCTTGAAACTCCAAACCTTACTTGGAGGTGCATGGGTAGTTATACGTGGGGTTATAAGTAGGGTAACTATACTTATAACCCATATTAGGGGACTTATAGCCCTACTGATAGCTACCCATGAACCTCCAAGTCGGGTGCTTCTGTCTCTCTCAGAGGTCACGGGCGCGTGGCAGTGCGCCGGCGCGTGGCCACGCAGGTAGTCGGAGCCGGGTCGTTGCTGCGTGATGCCAGGTTTCTCAGGCGGGGGCAGGGGAGAGTTTTGGAGTCTGGTGTATGCGGGCTTTATGGGGGGTTTCCGAAAATTAGGGGTACCTTATTTTGGGGTCCTTATAATAAGGATCCTACTATGCAGGGTACTATATTAGGGTCCCCTAGGATAGCAGCGTGGTGTGGGCGGGTTGGAGTTGGGGGGTCGGATTTCTTTTGGGAGTGTTGGGGTTTGGATTGTTTGGGAACCTGCCGCTCTTGTGGTGTTTTGTCCAAGCATGTGTGTCCGAGGCCCTGCAGCTTGAACCCACTGAGGAGCCTGAATGTAATCAGAAAGCAATGCTGGTTCCTTGTTTCTGGCAATGGGACAAATGGGATGTTTTGTGGGGACGCCCGCACGAAAAGCATTACTTAGGGCATGTGGCTTGCATTGCAACACACCGTGCCAGTGCTTCCGCTTGTCAGGCTTCTGGAGCGAGTCGATGCGTGCCTTGGGCCGGATCTGGATCCGAGGGGCCCATCCAACATCGTGTGGAGATTGGGAACGCCTCGGGCTTCTGACGCCTTGATGTGGGATGCATCGAGAGCAGCTGGGTGCCTGTTAAGGAGTTTAGTTTTAAGTTGCCATGATACGAAAACAACATGATTGACTACAGATCCCGATTATGGTAGCTTAAGCTCCCAACCCTAAACCCTAAACCCCCCAGGCAGATGCATTGACTCGGATGGCAGAATCCAATGCCGTGTAGCTTGCCAGCACAGCCTGGGCCTCCGGCAACCTGCGTAGGATCCTTGGTTATAGTTGGGTAGGGTTTAGGGGTTTAGGGTTTAGGGTAGCATTTTACATTTTTATAGGTACTCAAACCCAAAGAAGGAATAAAAGTGTAAATTTTTGATCCCATCCCAACCATGAACTAGGATCGATGGCGCCCTCTGGGGGATGACTTTCCGGTAAGGCCAGCAGATAGCAGCTGAGATGCATGCAGAGGACACATAAGTTGCAATAATGGGGACCTGCAGCAGTTGACAGTGTTTCCTTGTTGCGCTAACTGACCCTAAATTCTTAAAGCACTCAGCTCAGTTGCTTCGAACGAGGGGGTTTCCCTGGAGGAGCTAACCGCCATGGCATGGATCCGTGGCACCATCCAGCAAGCCGACCGTCGGCTCCCGTCCACCCTTGCCCACCAGTCGTGCGTCAACATCAGGGAGCTCGGCCACCGGGAGCTTTCAGGCATGGCCTGGGGAGTTGCTGCCTCGCAGTTCAAGGAGGCACCCATGCCAAACCTAAACCCTAAACCCTGAACCCTAAACGCTAAACCCAAAACCCAAAACCCTAAACCCTGAACCCTAAACCCAAAACCCAAAACCCTAAACCCTGAACCCTAAACTCCCTGAAAAGAAGGCACCGATGCCAAAAGCGGCCGCGGCGGCCGCGTAGCAAAGCATCGGAACCTTCGGACCGCAGAGCCCTTGGAACGTGGGACGGACGATGGCGGCAGCCGAGCCTGGGGGTTCCTTTAAAGGGATCTATAGGGATTCTATAAGGGTATAGGGTTTGGGGTTTAGGGTTTAGAGTACTTGGAGTGTCGGGGGACTTAGTAAGTGGGTAGTAAGTAGACTTATAAGTACCCCAAAAGGGACCCTAATTGGGGTTATGGTACTTAAAAGTCCCTAAAATAACCAGTTACTAAGTCCCCCGACCCTCCAAGTAAGCTACGCTGATTGCTAGGGAAGCCTGGCATACATGATCTGTATCTGCATTTATACCTATATATTACAAACATATTATATGTATGTACATGCACAACTATACATACATATGCGTACACATACACGCTTTCGCTTTCGGAGGCACAAGGTCCAAGTCGGACGTAGCCTATAGCATGCACTAATTACACGACTGTGAGGGCACCACAACCTGGAGCAGAAATCTCGTCCGAGTGTGCACTCAGGCAGGGCAACCGCACTGCAAACGGGCAGTTGGCGCACGGGGATACAACCGGCAGACCTTCGGCCCAAAAGCCGTCCCTGCTACAGGCTCCCTTAATCGGAAACCGAAACAGAATTAATCCGCCATAAAGTGCGATGCGAAGCAGGCCTACAAAATGCAGGATCGTTCCTCAAGGGTATGAATTGAGGCCATCCCTGCACAGCTACATCCCCTGGATGCCGAAACACCATCTTCGAGGTGATATAAGGACATCAGTACAGCACAGAGCTTGAGCCTTGTTCCTCATGGGGCAGAGAGGCAAACTACAAGCTTTATGCCCCGCATGGCGGATTCAAAAGGCCATGCCCTCCCAATCATGTAAACACCGTCGCACTAATGGTATGAGCAGCCAGCTTCCTCATGAGAATGTTGAACGCATAACCAAGCATCGAAGTCCGCAGGCTGCTGGGTCGTTGGCTGCCCTCTAGGCTCCGGTTGAACGCATAACCAAGCGTCGAAGTCCGCAGGCTGCTGGGTCGTTGGCTGCCCTCTAGGCCCCGGTTGAACGCATTACCAAGCGTCGAAGTCCGCAGGCTGCTGGGTCGTTGGCTGCCCTCTAGGCTCCGGTTGAACGCATAACTAAGCGTCAAAGTCCGCAGGCTGCTGGGTCGTTGGCTGCCCTCTAGGCTCCGGTTGAACGCATAACCAAGCGTCAAAGTCCGCAGGCTGCTGGGTCGTTGGCTGCCCTCTAGGCTCCGGTTGAACGCATTACCAAGCGTCGAAGTCCGCAGGCTGCTGGGTCGTTGGCTGCCCTCTAGGCTCCGGTTGAACGCATAACTAAGCGTCAAAGTCCGCAGGCTGCTGGGTCGTTGGCTGCCCTCTAGGCTCCGGTTGAACGCATAACCAAGCGTCAAAGTCCGCAGGCTGCTGGGTCGTTGGCTGCCCTCTAGGCTCCGGTTGAACGCATAACCAAGCGTCGAAGTCCGCAGGCTGCTGGGTCGTTGGCTGCCCTCTAGGCTCCGGTTGAACGCATAACCAAGCGTCAAAGTCCCCAGGCTTCGGTTGAACGCATCAGCGAACGACAAACTGTGCGGGCCACCGGCTCCAAGACGAACCCCGTACCCCATAAGGCATCGAAGGGGGTTCTGGGGCTACAGTTTTCCTACCAGACCTCGCTGGTGAGGCGATCTGAGCCCTTGTACACATACACATACACATACACATACACATACACATACACATGCACGTACATGTACACGTACGCATGCGCATACACTTACGCACACACACACACACACATGCACATATACATGTACTCACGCACACACACACACACATATACATACACATATACATACGTACATACATACCTACCTACGTACGCACCTACCTACGTACATACATACATGCATACATACATACGTACATACATACATACATACATGCATCGTACATGCATACATACGTATACTTACTCACAGAATCGGCGGTGTTTGTCTACTTCATAAGTTATGTGTACATAGATGTCGTAAGTGACACGGTACCTGGGAGCTCTATGGAAGTGTCTTCAGAAGAGCCCAGGAGCGGTTTAATTTGGTATTATGGGGGCCTGAATCATTAGAATAGGCCCATTAGACTGTAATTACAGTAACCCCCAACATTTTTACAGGTGATGAAGCCCGCTATTATGTGAGAATCACGAGCCCCAAGGAGTGGCTGAATTTACCTCCCACGGCTGCTCCGGTCCCGGCTTTCGCGCGGCGCCGGGCAGGGCCTTCGCCCCAGGGCCTCAGCAACGCAGCGCGAGGTGGGTGGGTGAGAGACGGAAGGGAGCTTTGGGTTTGAGGTCTCGGTGTTTGGGGTTTTGGGAAGCTTAGAGTTTATGATTTCGGTTTTGGGTTTAGGGTTTTGGGGCTATAAGGTTTCGGTGTCCGAAGCTTGAGCGATCAGGGTCAAGCGTTTCGGGATCCAGGAGTTAATAGAGTTTCGGGAAGTATAGTCCTGCAGGAAGCAGCCCAGACTCCGCTTGTGGATGTGTCGGGGTCTTCTATTCCAGTCTGTCCTTGAAGGCTCCGCCACGCCTGCGTTGCGTGATGTCGCCCTTCTGGAGACGCCTCTCGGTGGTGTAATGTGTAATGTGCGGGCCTGACAAATCAGCAATATCGACAGTACCCCAACTGACTGTTCCAATTATTACCCTGGCTCCTTGACGCTTTCGGGCTCTTCTTGCTTGGAGGTTAGCCTCCTGCACTGGACTGACTGACAGCCGTGGTCCACAATATGAATCAAAATATTACTTGAGGCAGAGCAGCTGTAGCGACTTCCTTGTGTGGGGACCACAAAGACTTGATAGCAGATAGTAGGATCCTTTTGAATTGTATCTTGAATGCATTACTGTATGTGTTAACTTCGGTAACATTACCCTAAGCCTAAACCCTAAATCCAAAACCCAATACATTATATCAGTTCTGTTACATTCTAAAGCATTTCATGCCGTTTCGAAGGGACCCAACTTCCGAACCTCACTCTTGGAGCCTGAGCCCGAACCTTCCCGAAGAAGAAACAAGCCTCCAATACACCTCAAGCCTAAACCCCTAAACACTAAACCGTTAGCAAGCTTATCCCTAGTTTAGTTTAGCAGGAATCATCCGCTATCATGCCCCTTCTCTGATCGTGTAGGTCCCCATACTTTAAACCCCAACCCCCAAAAGAAGATCCTAAAGCCTTGTTGATACCCATCGGCCCCATAGTTCCTTTTTGGGATTCATATATAGAATAATCCCTTCCCCCTAACATTAAATGGTCGGGCCCCCCCCCCGCCCTAAATAAAAATTCGAGAATGTTTTTATAATTAGGGGGCTGTTGTTATCTCAACTGCCAGAAACACAGGTTCTACAAGTAATTAAATAGAAAAAGCGATAAATAAATGAGCACATGTGGTGAATGCCAGAAGCTTGGAAATATGTGAAAGACTTAATTATCATTAATGATTAATTAATGATAATTAAATATGATAAGAACTAATTAATGATGTTCCAAGCTTCTAGCATTCGCTACAAGTGCTTTGCTTCTGAGAGGGTGTGTTGAGTTCTGTCAGCAATCTGCCCGCTCCGCCACAGACAGGCAGCCTCAAAGGAGGCCTTTGTGCCTTGGGGCACGAAGGCCCGAGCCACAGGCTGTCAAACAGACACTCAGACACACACACACACACACACACACACACACACACACACACACACACACACACACACACACACACACACACACACACACACACACACACACACACACACACACACACACACACACAACAACACACACACACACACACACACACACACACACACACACACACACACACACACACACACACACACACACACACACACACACACACACACTCACACTCAAGTGCTGTGAGACCCACCGGAGCACTCAAACACAGACACTCACTCACACTCACTTCTTAGGCAGACAGGACCGAGTGAGTGCTTCGCTTGCCATGGGCGGCGAGGAAGCGCTTGAGAAGGCCGGATCTTTCTAATTTGCAGCCTCGGTCCTCCCAATTAATTATTGCTCTCTCAGCCATCCTGCAACATGTGCATTGGTGCTCAGAGTAATTAATCCTTCAGGCGCATAATGATATGCAGGGGAATCGAGCCCCGGCACTTCCCACTCAGGGTGTAGCACTATCGCCTCGGCTATCCTGAAGTGTGTGAAGGTGGTGCAATTCTTGTCCATAGGAGATTATCACGAGCAATACACAATTTTTCTCTAGGAGATGCAGAGGGCAAAAGTGATTCGCCAGATAGAAGAAGGCAAAGCACGATTCGCGGGTGCAACTGCAAATGCAGTAATTACTGACAGCAAAATCAAATTTTGGCGCAGTGGTTAACGATTTGCCCCGATTCCCAGAAAGTCTGAGAATTACGATGAGTTAAGATCAACGCAAACCGTCAAAAACAGAAAGGCAGGGTTTTCATGGTCTAGTGGTTAACGTCGTGGCTGACAGGAGCTGGAAGGCTGCCCGACAGATCCTGGGCAGCAGGGACGAGCGACAAGGGCATCTTCAAAAATTCATGCCGCCCAGCCCACCACGGGCGAGAATACAAGTAGCACAAGGTCAGCACTGGAAGTGTCTCCTGTCCGATGCTGGCTGGATGGTGCTGCGTTGTAGTACAAGCTGAGAACTGGAAGTGCCTCGTTTCGGATGGTGATGCATTGTAGTTAATTCTCAGTACTGGAAGTGTCTCCTGTCCGATGCTGGCTGGATGGTGCTCAATTGTAGTACAAGCTTAGTACTGGAAGTGCCTCGTTTCGGATGCTGTCTGGATGATGCTGCATTGTAATTTATTGGTACAAGCTCAGTGCTGGAAGTGTCTCCTGTCCGATGCTGGCTGGATGGTGCTCAATTGTAGTACAAGCTTAGTACTGGAAGTGCCTCGTTTCGGATGCTGTCTGGATGATGCTGCATTGTAATTTATTGGTACAAGCTCAGTGCTGGAAGTGTCTCCTGTCCGATGCTGGCTGGATGGTGCTCAATTGTAGTACAAGCTTAGTACTGGAAGTGTCTCGGATGCTGTCCGGAAGTGTCTCCTGTCCGATGCTGGCTGGATGGTGCTCAATTGTAGTACAAGCTTAGTACTGGAAGTGCCTCTTTTCGGATGCTGTTTGGATGATGTCAGTGCTGGAAGTGTCTCCTGTCCGATGCTGGCTGGATGGTGCTCAATTGTAGTACAAGCTTAGTACTGGAAGTGCCTCGTTTCGGATGCTGTCTGGATGATGCTGCATTGTAATTTATTGGTATAAGTTTAGTGCTGGAAGTGTCTCCTGTCCGATGCTGGCTGGATGGTGCTCAGTTGTAGTACAAGCTTAGTACTGGAAGTGCCTCTTTTCGGATGCTGTTTGGATGATGTCAGTGCTGGAAGTGTCTCCTGTCCGATGCTGGCTGGATGGTGCCCAATTGTAGTACAAGCTTAGTGCTGGAAGTGCCTTGTTTCGGATGCTGTTTGGATGATGTCAGTGCTGGAAGTGTCTCCTGTCCGATGCTGGCTGAATGGTGCTCAATTGTAGTACAAGCTTAGTACTGGAAGTGCCTCGTTTCGGATGCTGTCTGGATGATGCTGCATTGTAATTTATTGGTCCAAGCTCAGTGCTGGAAGTGTCTCCTGTCCGATGCTGGCTGGATGGTGCTCAATTGTAGTACAAGCTTAGTACTGGAAGTGCCTCGTTTCGGATGCTGTCTGGATGATGCTGCATTGTAATTTATTGGTATAAGTTTAGCGCTGGAAGTGTCTCCTGTCCGATGCTGGCTGGATGGTGCTCAATTGTAGTACAAGCTTAGTACTGGAAGTGCCTCGTTTCGGATGCTGTCTGGGAGGTGCTGGCATGTTTCTTCTGATTGTTTCTTTTTTTCCAAACGTGCAGGCCAAGCTGCGAGCCGCTTTGGAGAATGCTTTGGCCGAGCTAGACAAGGTGCAGGGGTGCTGATGCATGAACTGACCGAATTGCTCTAAACATCAGGACGACGAGAGGGAAGCCAAAAGAAGGAAGACAGCCAAGACAGTAGAGGTAGTTGACTTGATCACGGAAGAACCACAGGCAGTGGTTTGCAGGCAGAGCAGCCAAGACAGCCTAGACAGCAGCCAGACAGCTAGAGGAGTGAAGAGGCAGGCTAGCTTTCACACACCTTCGCCGAAGAAGCGTCTGTTCAGTCCTGACAGCAAGGGTAGAGACAGCCAGAGCCCAGGCAGCCAGAGCCCGGGCAGCCAGAGCCCAAGCAGCCAGAGCCCAGACAGCAACCCTGTGCAAAAGAGAAAGATAGAACAGCTCAAAAAGACCTTAGGCCAAGGCAGTCCAGTCTACTACAGGCTAGACTACCTTTGGGGCAAGGCAGCAGAGGCAGAGGCTAAGCCCGGCCTTTCGCCAGACACAGCTAGTGACAGACAGAAACAGCAGCAAGCGGAGAACCTGCAAAACCTGCAGCAGAAAGCCAGCCAAGCAGAGGAAAAGCTCGGACTGGAGCCAGCTGTTGGAGTTCTTACAAAGAGACAGGGAGGCAGACCGCTAGGCAGTAAGCAGAAGACGAAACGGGTGCCGCATCTTCGCAAGAAGCGACGTGATGTGACAGCCAGAACCAAGTTTTCCATGATGGAAGACTTAGACAGAGCAGCCGTAGAGCAGAAAAGTCGCCGTGCAGCCAGGCAGCATGTCATGAGGCTGTATGGCGTGAGCGAGTCTTTTTGCTTCAACCTGCAAAAAGACTATCACAGAAAGAAAGTCAGAAACTTTCTCGCCAGCACGGGGCGAGGACAGAGTGCCAGACAGGCAGGCAGCCATTTGGGTCTCGTGCACCTCGTCAGCAAGTCAACAGGCAGGAGACTGCCTGACCCAGGCAAAGCGCTGGGTAGGCCAGACTTTCTCCAGCCAGTCTGGTCTGAGACCCGTGCTTGGGCCTTGACTGAGGAAGCCATCCAGCACGTCCTGACGAGCACAGACGTGCTGATGGACTTCGAAGAGAGGCTCGACAAAGCCATTGCAGTCAGGCAGGCAGAACAGGAAAAGGGTCTTCTTGACCAGACAGGTGAGAAGGAGCTGGCAGCCATGGTGCAAAAGAAAGCCTCGCTAGCCAGCAAGCCAAAGCAGAGGAGCAAGTACCAGATCCAGCTCCTCGCAAAGTGCGGTCTTCGCAGCAGATCCCGCCAACAGACAGCCAACCTGACCCAGGAGGAAGAGAAAGCCAGGCTAGACTTCTCCTGGCGACTTTGGGACGGAGTTTCGGGTTTAGGGTTTCCTTAAACCCTAAACCCAAAAGCCAAACCCTAAACCTTCATGCACCTTCATGCTTTCGAAGCCAACCGAGGCACCGAGGCTGGCATGTGCTGCTCGAGCCCCAGGTGTGGCAGCAAGGTGGCGAATCAGCTTGGTAGCTAGACAGGCAGTGCAGAACTTCTTTGCGCCAGACAGACAGCCAGTCGGTGTCGTTATGCCCACGATACTCGTCACATACGGCAAACACTGCAGACTTGAAAACATCAGCCAGGAAGGCACGTGGATCAAGTCCGAGTGCTTCCAGGTAGGCAGCAAGACAGTCAGGAGAAGGGCAGGCCAGCGAGTGCTAGGACAGGTCATGCGCACTTGGCGCAAGCTGCGAGCCACCCAGCCACACCTGTTTGCTGATGGCAGTGTCAGGGTGTGGTGCCAGCCAGCCGCAGTGGTAGACAGCGTCATTTACAGATGGCAGCTAGAGCTCGAGTCAGAAGAGCACAGCCAGGCAGTGCAGCTCGTCGATATGTTCGGCGGAGCATGGACGACGGAGTCCATGCACGCCGCTGCACTCCTGCAGCGAGCTCAGACAGGCATTGCAGCCGGGTGCACCGGCTTGAGCCAGGTGACAGACATCGGGTTCGCCCAGCCAGCCAAGGCAGCTCTCCGGAGGTGGCAGGAAGACCTGAAGCAGCGCATGAGAGAGAAAGCCAGACAGCAAAAGGTGCATTGCACCTATAAGACAGGCCCGGCAGACATTCTGGAGGCAGCTAGACAGATGCACGCCAGGATGGTGCAGTTGAATGAGACAGAGAAGACAGTCGTTCGCTGCATGCGGCAGGGAGACTGGTTCCACTTCCGTCCAGACAGTGAAGGCAGGCTTCAGGACTGTGGCAGCCAGAAATGGTGTCTGGACTTCCCTGAAGGCAATGCCAAGCTAGGCGGCGACCACCTCAGAGACAGGTCTCGTTGGGTGGACAAGACAGGCAAGGTGCTTCCGTGGACAGAGGCAGACAGCAAGACATTTGATGAATCCAAGGCATTCGAACCCGAGGCTACGTACCTGCTTGGCCAGACAGGCATACACTTGAGCTTCCGAGCGAAGCCCAATCTCCTTGCTCAGTCAGAAAGAGAGCTCAGAGAGGTCATTCTGAGACAGGTCCACCCGAACCAGAGGAGACGGCTTTTCCAGGAACAGGTGGACCAGACAACAAGCCAGACAAAGACTGAGAAGCAGCAGAAAAAGGAAAAAAGGCTCAAGAACGCGAAGCAAGACAGAAAAAGGCGCAAACTCTTGAAAGAATGGAGACAGCAGCAAGCCAACAAGACAAAGAAGCAGGCTCTGCTGTCTGTCGTGCCCAAAGTGGGCCAGAAAAAGGCCAAGAAGAAGGCCTCCAAAGGCGACAAGAAGCCCAGCGAGGTGAAGAAGCAGCAGAAGAAAGACCAGGCGAAAGAAGGCTCAAAGACGGGCAGCCGAGCCAGGCAGCGAGGGACACTTGCATGGCAAGCAAGCTCGAGTGATCGGTGACCTGGCTCCGCAGACGCTGCTGGGCAAGATCGTGGTGTGTGGAAAGCAGACAGACAGCCAAGTCCTGATCAATGCTGATGGATTTCATGAATGGGTCAGCCACACAGACATTACGCTGGACGTCAGAGACAGACAGTTTCCGCTGGTTTTGGATTTTGAGTCTTTCCCCAATGCTGCAGCCAGTGCTTCAACGAGGATGTCTCACGCCACGTCAGCCAGGCAGACAGCCTGCTAGGCAGATGGCAGGTGCGCAGGGCGGCCATGCTTGCTCGCTGCAGACAATCAGGGCCGCCATTTAGCTGGGTGGCCCTGATTTTTCGGCAGCTAGACAGACAGCCAGGCAAGGATCACTTTTGCTGCCTTAATTAAGGCCTTAAACCCCTAAAACCCTAAACCCTAAAGACCCGCTGAGACAAACAGGCAGCCGACGATCCTTTTCAGGCTTTTTGCCTCTACAAACTCAGCCAGACAGCCAGTCAAGGTCGCTACAACTTAAGGCCCTAAAACCCTGCACCCTTAAACCTAAACCCTGAGCCCTAGTTAGGCAGACAGACAGCACCAGACTGGCAGCCGATCTTCTTTTGCTGTTTGGCTGTATAACAGCGAGACAGGCTCGGACAGCCAGACTCGCAGACAGCACAGCTGCAGACCGACCGCAGCAGCCGAAAAAAGACAAAGAACTAGAAAAGCCACCACCCCAAACCCTCAATCTATAGACCCTAAACCTCCCCCCTAATTCAAATTAGGGTTTAAAGGGCGGTGCTACTTCCGGGTGGATCGGGGGAAAAGTGTTTTTATAATTAGGGGTCTGTTTATTGTTTGGGGGAAGCGATTACTGAGGTAATCCCAAAAAGGAACTACTTTGGGGCCTATGGGTAAACCTCAAGATGGAAATCTGCTAACTCACAAGACATACTTGGAGGTTCATGGGTAGTTACTCGTGGGCTTACACTTCCTCTAATGTGGGGAATATTTATAGTTACCATGCCTATAAATCCACTGAGAACTGCCCATGAACCTCCAAGTAGCCATCCAAAAAAGCACTCCCCGAAAGCCAACTCAGGATTTCAAAGACGTGCCTGGCAGTTCTCTCGGAGCTTACGTCACAGGCATCCCCCAGCACGCCGCCCTTTGCGATCGAGTTCGAGATGTGTGTAGGAGATATAGTTAGGTCTCTCCGGGGTTCGGTTTGCTTGGTGTGGCTTCAAAGAAATGATGACCCTAAGTAAACCCTGAACAGAGAGTTGGTGCATGGTTTGCTGGGATCTGCTGCAGGCTCTCTCCATTCCGGGCTTGGTGTAAGTTGGCCTACGACTGCAGAGTCCTTACATACAGTAATCATCCCTGGTCCCTAAACCCTAAACCAAAAACCAAAAAAGTGTGGAAAAAAAGGTCAGAATTTTAAACCGCAGCCGCAGCTGGTAAAAGTCCCCAACTCCTAAACGCTAATTTGGCCGACATTCTAGGGAGAAAATCGCGATTGCTTTCTCCAAGGTCTGCCTCTAAGCCGACAAGACGCACCAAATCCCAATGGAAACCCCAAGATAGGACCAACAGGCGTTTGCCTACAAGTCGCCGGCAACAAGCCGCCAGCATCACCAAAAGTCTGGGAAGTGGAGTTGAGGGGATGGGAAGAAACTAAACCTTGACCTTAAAGGCCCTAAACCCTGAACTAAAAAAAGCCGGAAAAGGGCTTTCAAGAAAAAGAACCAACAAAACCGTAAACCCCAACCGAAAAACCCTAAACCCTGCACCGCCGAAGCTCCGCGCTGAAGCAGAGCAGACAGGCTTCGGCGAACACCGCTTAGAGACGCGCCACGGCCTGGTTCCAGGGTGCCGCCCCGCTGGCTGCTGCTAAACAGCGAAGCAAAGGGCTTCAGTCTGCGGCGCAGGAGATCGGGTTGGTGTTTAGGGTTTGGGGTTTAGACTCTAGGGTTTAGGGGTTTCGGGGTTCAGGGGTTTGGGGTTTAGGGTTTAGGGATTTAGGGTTTGATTTGGGGTTTAGGGAAGGCAGTTTGGGTGAGGGCAATCAACGAAACGGTGTGGGATTCTCGAGGGTCGGCCCACTTTGGCCGAACGAGTTTTGAAGGCTTCGTGAAGGTGTTCGTGTAAGACTACACATGTATCGCAGACCATAAACCCTAGTTTCCAAATCAACCCTCTCGACGTCCTTGCTAGCGGAGCCACTGAAATTGAACCAGATTCGCCTTATTTCAGCCTTGAATAACGGAGAGTGAACGGGGAGGCACAGTACCTAGGTTTCGTGCTTGGGGTTCCGAAATCCGTCAAGATTCAGGCTTTTGCATCGTAAAACGGCATGCGCGCCAGACCTCTTGAGCGGATGCGGGCTCGACCCCTGAACCAAAGCTGATTGGACCTTGCCTTTTGAGCCGAGAGCCGCCGGGATTTCTGGAAAGCCGAGCGAAAAGCCAAACTCCAGTTCTCCAGGAGCCGTCGAACCTTGTCCGAGCTCTTGGTGTGTTGCAGACGCGCCTCAGCATCCTAAACCCGGGCTTAGGGTTTAGGGTTTAGGAGATAATTTTTTGGATGTTCTTTCCGTCTGCTCGACTGAGAAATACCACCGTCGTCCTCGTCGTCGTCTTTGTGGCCGTTGTGGTGTTGGCTGTTGCGAGGCATGTTGTTATCATCTTCGTTGCTCATGGTCATCATCATCACCGACATGATGATGACGATGATGTTGATGATGACAATGATGATGGTAATGATGATGATGATAAGGATGAGGATGATGGTGATGACGATGATGGTCATGATGATGTTGAAGCTGCTGCTGAAGATGACGACGATGAAGATGAGCATCATCATGACCATCCTAGTCTTTATCTTCATCGTTGTCTCCGTCATCATCTTTCTATTCTTCATCCTCATCCTCATCCTCATTCCGTTTTCCTGTTCATCGCCAGCAGCGTCATCGTCATGGCCATTGGTATGCCAGCTGTCAGTAGTTCCGGCTATTGCAACTATGGTTGGTTATATCCTAACAATGACCACTGCTGTTCCTGCTATGCTACATCTCATATATTCAACGGCTGCGACTCTCTTTTTCTGCGACTGCTTCGCTGAGCCGTAAAGAATCTAGTGATCAGTTCAGGCGGAGGATCGGCAATCCGCCGAAGACTTGGTTTTCGGGTTCTTTCAGGGTTTAGAGTTTCGGGATGTTGGGAATCCCCGCATCACAGTTTGCGGCAGGTTTATGGTACGCTCAGAAGCCACTGCAAGCAGCTAAGAGTGCTCTGGGACAGGCCGAGGCCCGAATTCAATCTCGCTGCTACAGTCCTAGTTACGGAGACCCCTTAAAGGGTTCCCTTCTTCATGCTTCCTTAGAAGGGACCAAAGTGAGAGGGTCTATATCCCAAGGGCCCCACTAATCCAAACTCCTGTGCAGGCAGGCCCCTAAACCCTAAAAGCCCCTAGACCCTAAGAGCGCGCCTGTAACCTGGAGGACTGCCCCTACGGAGATGCCCATCGCATCCAGCTCGCAGCTCGATTCAAAAGCTGTGGAGGGGGGCGGTAGCTGGCAGGTACCCGGAGGCTCCAATATCCCTTGGTTGAGGAATGTGCCTTATTTCTATAGTAGGATCCTCAGTATGATGTAAAGTATATTGCTTAATTAAGGGATATTGGAGTCTCCGGGTAGCAAATAGTTGTTTTCAGGATGTGGACATGTACGCGTGAAAGCCACGTCGAAGAGTATCCTACACCTCGGAGCCCTAAAGCCCAAAGCCTTAAATCCCTCAACCCCTAAACCCTAAACCCTAAACCCCAAAGCCCTAAACCCTAAACCCCTAAACCCTTAAACCCTGAACCCCTAAACCCTGAACCCTAAACCCTAAACCCCTAAACCCTAAATTCCTAAAGCCCTAACCCCGAAACCCTTTACCCTGAACCCTCCTAAAGGTTAGAACCCCACAGCCTTGCTGAGGGGGTCCACTGCGCAGCAGCTCGCAAGTGCCGTTTGGGACTTTAGCGAATCGACGGCTCCTCCCGAGCCTCCTTGGGAGGTTCCTTTGAGGGATAGTTATAAGTCGGGGTTCCTTTAAGGGATCCATAGGGTCTAGCGTTTAGGGTTCAGGGTTGAGGGTTTAGTAGGATTATGGGGTGCCGGGGTAGTTATAAGTGGGGTTCCTTCAAGGGATCTATATTGTTTAGGGTTGAGGGTTTAGTAGGATCATGGGGTGTAGGCGTAATTAGAAGTGGGGTTCCTTTAAGGGTTCTATGGGGTTTAGGATATAGTAGGATTTTGGGGTTTAGGGGTAGTTTTCGTGGCGTTCGTGTAAGGGTGGCAAAGGATTTAGGGATTAGCGTATAAGTCCCCTCATCTGGGTTATAACTTACGTTACCCTACTTACAATCGCACTTGTAACTATTCCAAGCCTTAAACCCCAAACCCCATAACCTCGTCACTGAGTACCCGATTCGGTCGTCCGTCATCTGAGAGATGCCTAAGGTTTCCGAAGATTGATTACCTCCTCAGGTAATCTGCCCGCCCAAAGGGGCTTTTAGGACGCTTCGTGCAGACTGAAAAAGGGCCCTTAAAACAAAAAAACCTATACCTAGTCCTAAACCTTAAAACCTAAACCCTATAAAAGCCTATAGAACGCTTACAGGAATCCTATCACCCCAGTTATAACTGTTCCTAAACCATAAACCCTACACCCGCTAAAACCCTATTCGGAATCCTTAAAGGAACCCTATAACCCCACTTATAATTGTTCCCAAACCATAAACCCTAACCCCGATTAGAAAAAACCCTATAGGAACCCTTAAAGGAACCCTATAACCCTACTTATAAGCTACCCCTAAACCTCAAAGGAAGCCTACTTATGACTACCCCTACACCCCATAATCCTAAGCCTGAACCCTCAACCCTGAACCCTGAACCCTGAACCCTAAGCCCTGAACCCTGAACCCTAAACCCTACACCCTGAACCCTGAACCCGAAACCCTGAACCCTAAACCCTAAACCCTGAACCCTAAACCCTAAACCCTAAACCCTGAACCCTAAACCCTAAACCCTGAACCCTGAACCCTAAACCCTAAACCCTGAACCCTGAACCCTAAACCCTAAACCCTGAACCCTAAACCCTAAACCCTGAACCCTGAACCCTAAACCCTATAGATCCCTTAAAGGAGCCCTCTTAAGACTCCTTTGGAGGCAGCTGGAGATCTCCTCGGCTCAACTGGTCCCGAAGCCCGGAGTTCTTTGGGGTTCAG